GTACCATCGGGAGTATCGTAGACGAATTCAAAAGTTCGTTGTCCCAGAGCGACACGTCGATCGGTAGGGTACGGATATGCCATGAGGAACAATCGATTGACGACTCCTCCGGGTGTAAGAGTGGCAGGACCACTGAGACACGATCGGTAGAACGTGTTGGGTTCTCCAGTTGGTTCTGGGTCCGTGCACGAGGAGCGCAACATGTTGGCTTGCTGGGCATCGTTTTGACTGACGGCACCGGATTCTTGAATCTCGTTGCACGCTTCTGTAGAGGTTCCCAAGGAGTAGCTCGAGACGACGGTGGGTCGATCGGCCGCAGGATTTCCGGCAAATGCCGATACGGCGACCTGGACCTTTTGTGTTCCACTGGCACAATGATCTCCCACTTGGCAGGCAAAGTAGAGTACTTCTCCCGTGTCGTCACCCGCAACGGCATAGTCATAAGGTGATTCTCCCACTTGTGCCAAGAGCGTGGCATCGGTAAAGTTACAGTTCAAAAAGTGTTCCTTGGAGGCCATCTTGTACACATTGTGCGCTTGGTATTCAAAGTGCAGCTTGTCGCCTGGGTGAACACCACTGGAAATGGGTGAGTAGCAAACACCGTCGGTCCAATCCACTTGCGAGGGAACCATGTCCTCGTCTTGGCCAATCACAATCGTCATGGCATTGGCGCCCACAAACACCGTGTTTTCCACCACAAAGCCATGGTCTTCTTGCTCCTGTGCTGTCTGGGCCTTGGCATCCCGTACTGTCATGCCGGTGGCCAATGCCAGCAAACAAACACTCAACGATCCAAATCTCATTGTGTTGATATGTAATATCAGTCAATGAGTCTCAAAGTTTGGCAGTTTCTTCTTCTCGCTCGAAAATATGAGAGAGAAAGAGAGAGGGAGATGGTGATAAAGCATCACCGTTCAATCAGCCTAGACTTCGCCGATCGTCACCTCTCAACGGTGGGTCCACTCAATTGGCACGAATAGTACAGCGCCCTGTAGAAAGCAAATGTCTTCCTACGCAGAGGCAATAACGTGCGCTCGGTGGGACTTGATGATGCACTGCCAGTACCATAGCTCTCGGAAGATAGATTTAGAGCAGAGGATTGGATTCGGTACTACTAGTACAGTACATATATATGTCACGGCGGCGAATGATGCTGGATCTTCTTTAGGCTGTTTGCGCACGGTGTGTCATCGTGCAGAATGATACAGTACGGTATCTGCACTGGCTGAGTCAGAGGTGGAGCTGTCAGAGTCAAGGGAGTTACCGTGCTGGATTCAGTCGTCATTTTTTTATTAATAAAAAGTGACGTTGTTGATCGTACATGTAAATCCTGTAGGAGTACTAGAGTAGTACAGACAGCTACGTTGAATGAACGCTATGAACAGAAGGGAATTCAGTGGAAGCAACGTTCCAGCTCATCAGTTCAACCTTCCGTAAAAAGCTGATGTCATCCATAGCTCATCCATTTCCTTTCTTCGTAATCTCACTGAGCCTCGAGCCCGCCATACTGAACCTAGCTAGACTACCTGTACTACATACTACATGTACCCAAAACTACCTGCACCTTTAAGTTGGCTTGAAAGGTTGAAATAGCTCGGTAAAAATTCAAAACAAATAATTTTGCTGAAAACGATTATGACTTGGAACAGAAAGGATCTCTGGCTTAGGATCACTGGCTTTAACTCCTAGCTAGGATCACCGGCTTCCAACTGGCTTCCACAGAAATAGAAGCCAGTGTTCCTAAGAACAGAAGCCAGTGATCCAAGGGGTTAAAGCCAGTCATCTTTTCTGTTCCAGGATGACTTTACTATACAATTATCAGTACCTGGTACAAGCATTGTTCCAGCTGGAACAACATAGAAGACTGGCTTTGTTCCCAAATATGGGAAGCCAGTGTTCCATGGGACACCAGTTATCCGGGCTTTAAAGCCAGTGTTCCTAAGCCAGTAATCTTCTTGGATCTTACCAAAGGCAAATTCAAAATTGCTTAGCTTTTTGGAAAATATCCAATTTGAAAGGTTTAAATGGGCTTTACTACAAGGTGCAGTCAACCACCGTAGCTAGACCAATCCAACAAACCCACGGTGCCACCGCAACAGAACAGAGCTCAAAAAGGAAAGAGGCGAAGGACAGATCCCAGCAGATCGAACGATCGAACTCACTGTGGATAGCCACGCCACCAGTCTGGTACTCTGGCTGCTAGCTACTTCAATAACTTCCCTTACCTTAGCTATAGCAAGTACGAAACTTCGTCAAGCTGGCTGATCAGCATGCTATGGTACCGGAGGATTGATGGCTCATTGCAACCAAAACTTCCACCAGATTGCTGCAAACCTGTCAATACAATCCTAGCTAGCCTGGCTAATACAACAAACGCACTGGATGGATTACCACCGATCCAATCGAACAACCCCTTCACAAACCAGTCTTCAAGGATTCGTCCAGTTTTAAGTTAAAACAGGAAGAACATGGCTATCTAGCTAGCTAGTAGTTGACTAGGCTCTAACATGAAGGTTCGTCAACATGTTTGGAACACAGTCCAATTTATCATTATATAAACGACGATGATGTATCAGTATATCAGTATATTCTTCTCATATTTAGTGTCCTTCAACATGAGATCCAGGGCAGCCATTGTCACAAAGCCACTGGATCAGTTCGCTCTTGTTGCTTCTGCTATTTCTGGCATGCCTCCATGTCCCTTCATCCCATGGACAACCATTCGCACAAGCCCACTTCAAGATTTCCAAATGTCCACCTTTAGCCGCAGCATTGCATGTCCAAATATCCCATGGACAACCATTTGCACGAGCCCACTTTAATATTTCCAAATGGCCATTTCTAGCAGCAACAGCACATGTCCTTTCAGTCCACCGACAACCATTCTCACGAGACCACTTTAAAATTTCCAAATGTCCATTTTTAGCAGCCTCTTGACATGTCCGTTCATTCCATGGACAATCATTCTCTCTTAACCATCGGAGCATTTCAAAATGGCCCTCCCTAGTAGCAGCCTCACATGTCCGTTCATTCCATGGACACCATTTCATGAGCCCATTTAGAATTTCCAATGTCCATTTTCAGCGCCTCTTGACATGTCCTCATCCCATGGACACTTTTCACGAGCCCACTTAATATTTCCAAATGGCCATTTCTAGCAGCAAAGCACATGTCCTTTCATCCACGACAACCATTCTCACGAGACCACTTAAAATTTCCAAATGTCCATTTTTAGCAGCCTCTTGACTGTCCGTTCATTCCATGGACATCCATTCTTCTAATCTTCAGCATTTCCAATGCCCCTTTAGCAGCCCTGACATGCGTTCATTCCATGGATGGCCTTTCATGAGCCCATTTTAGAATTTCCAAATGTCCATTTTCAGCTGCCTCTTGACATGTCCATTCATCCCATGGACACCCATTTTCACGAACCCACTTTAGGATTTCCAAATGTCCACCGTCAGCAGCACCTGAGCATGTCCGTTCATTCCATCGACAACCATTCTCACGAGCCCACTTTAAAATCTCCAAATGGCCACTTTTAGCAGCATAGTGACATGTCCAACTATCCCATGGGCAACCATTCTCTCTTAACCATTGGAGCATTTCCAAATGTCCACCTGTAGCAGCACTAGCACACGTACATTCGTCCCATAGGAATCCTTTTTGTCGTGCCCATGTCATGACAGCAAGATTTCCAATTTTGGCAATGGCAGCACAAACATTATGACGATGAGGTGTCTTATTTCTGGAATTGTCCACGAGCCAGTATTCTGCACGTGGCTGGTTACAGAATGTTTCGCTGCAAAAAGTGTCGGTGCTTCCCGAAGAGCGACTGTGAGCAGACCGGAACCCTCCAGGGTTAGTCTTAACCTTTCTTGGATTTTTCTTGAGTTCAAGCGTGCAGTACTCTTTGTATAGTTGATTCATCTTTTTGTTGACAGCTCCTACAAATGCGTACTGTCCAACACCAACAAAGGGAAGAATGCCTTGGACCAAAATCAAATCATCAGCGAAAAGAAGAGAATCGAAGGGAGGAGACATCTTCAGTTTTGCATTGTTGGGTGAGCTGGTATTGGTAGCAGCAGCAGCACTGCCGGTACTACCACCAGAACTGGTGCTGATACCAGTAGCAATACTATCAGAAGACATGATCAACAATCAGATTGGCAAATTGGCTATTAGCTAGACCGCAGCCATGCATGCCGCCATGCATCCGAACACTTCGTCAATTGCTGTGCCGCTGTGGCTGGCCGCTGGGGAGCCGAGTGGCCGAGTTGGTGACGTCATTTCCAGCTATGTTCTTGAGACTGAATGGATGTAATGGCATTCTAGCTAGCTTGTATGGGTATGTACCACGCGAAAAAAGTGACACAAGACTGGCTTGTGCCTCAATTTGAGAATTCGAGCTGGGAGTTGTCACAAGCTTGCGGTACGGCACATGTTCTTATTACAAGAAGCCTCGCAAATTGATAGCTACAGTACTATCCGATTGGAGTCGATTGATCATTCATTTTAAAATTCAAACCATCTACTAGCTAGCTAGCTAGTAATACCGGTACCTATAAAGATGAGCGCGGTGATCCCCAAAGTCTCCGAGTTTCGCGGTTCGTACGGAGGCGGCGACAGTGAGAAAGTGTACGAGTCTGGGCTAGATGCGAGTGCGGGACGCATGGCCAAGCTTCGAGCCAAGAAGAAGGCGCTTCGAGAAAGCAAGAAAAGAGGGTCTTCCACCAACACGGCGCCTTCACCCGAAGAGGTAGTCCAACGAGAGGAGCTTGAGCAGGAAGAACCTGTGGTGGATCATGCCAGGAGATCAGAGGACGAGGATGAC